ACAAGTGCCTCACATTTATGGGAACTTCTGTGACAGATATGGAAGAACTTTCTGAAGAATATTTGGTTTCTGTTGTGGAAAGAATGCCACAAGTGTGTTCAGCTGTTATTTCTACCAAAGGTGGCTACTTTGATGAGTCAAAACTTTAGAATACCTTTTGGTCTATAGATCAATTCCATGTTTTTTTTTTAACCCCAATGGCTTGTTTGTACCATGCTTTCATTTCAGTGTAATGTGACATTAAACTGCATATAAGAAGAGCATTTCAAGCATTATTGGAAAACATGCATCAAAAACATCTTCTTCTACCCCACCTTTAACATTTTACCTGTCATGGAAAGTGTCCAGAACAGCCTCTGTTAGAAGAAGTAGCTTTTACATTCAATGCAGGGCTGTCAGCTCTCATGCATTTAGCAAGAACACAAGCATTTTACTGTCTTTACATGCTTTTGTGGCATTCCTCCAATTCCTCACGCTGAAATGTGGAGCGTTCATCAACCCATCCTCCATGTTAGCAGATAGCCCTTCCCCTACAGCCCCCAATTGAAGATCAGCCTTCTCTGGTGAATGCTGAGAAAACAAAACCTCTTTTTGACAATGAAATCATAAAATTAAAGTTAAACTTCACTCATTAAAATATATTTGCAGTGGTCTCTAGTAGAGATGAATGCCTTAAGTCGCACTCTGGAGAAAAAGCTCCGGTGCACCTTTTGCAGAAACTAGAAGTGAGACAGTTCAGAGTTGGGCTGCACACGACAGAATTTGGAGTCTTATTTCCTGCTTTTTGGACATCTTGGCTTGGATTGGCTAACAACAACATGATTTTAGCACAGACTCCGTTTGCTCTGCAGCGTTGATGTTTTATCTCTACAAATAACTCAAGCCTGAAGCAGATATGCTGTTGTGGAGCTGCTAATGCTAACAGTTAGCTTCTGCTAGTCAGCACATGCTCTGCTGTTTCCTGGACGCTAAACCAACAACAACCTTCCCCATTGTGAATTCAGATGGGTGAGTCCGTGAATGTTAATAATCTGTCAGGATTTTCAAATCCTAAAGTTTCACTCGCTCTTTTCTATCAGAAGCTAATGCAGGATTATAATCACAAACAATAATAAATAATTATTTTTCAGTGAAGTGACCTTTAATGCTCCTTTTGTTAACAGGAGAAGTTTCAATTGCTACAGTGACAGTTAAAGAAGTACAACCAAAGGGAAGTTTTTCTAAATGAGTTTGGAGGAACAGTGAGTGACACAAACGATTCCACTCATCAGGATGTTTATTAAGGTCGACACCTAAGACTGGCATGCTGTAACGTTTTTCATCATCAGAGCTAGAAACTGAGATGTTTTTATATTTAACTAAAGGGGAAGGGGCTTTCACCAAAGCAGGTATTCCATTTCACAATGTGCTTTTGTGCACCATTCCCTCAATTTTGTAGACAGCCCATTCCAAACAGTGGGCCTCCTACTTGTTCATTTCCTCATAAAAATGTCTTTGTCAAATAACAGCCGTCTCTGCCAGGATGTCCACAAATCTAAACCGCTGACTTGCAGACACTTTCAACACATGAATAAAACCTTATAAAGGGAATAAATGACGGTGGAAGTCATGCGGCTTTCCATTCCCCTGTGGCTCTCTATTGTCACATCCACATCTGGCCCTGGTTACAGCACAAGGCCTGGGCGACGTCTGTCACTCGCCAGGAAGTCGACAGAAATTTGACTCAGGGGATAAGGAGAGGGAGAAAACCGTTGAGCATGCACGCACGCACTCACACACACACACACACACACACACACACACACACACACACACACGCACATGCACGCTGGCTGATTTTTTAAATCTGTTTCCATATTAGTATGTTTAATGTAAAACAAACCTGATTTATTAATGATGTCATCACATTCATCAAACATCTTGATTGTATTTTAATTCTTCTTTTTCTGCAAATGTATTTTTGTTTATAACTTAATGATCATTTAATGTTTTATTATTTCCAGTCCACTTAAGTTTCTGTTTGATTCCAAATCTAATCAAAATCAGTTTCTACTTAGAGACAAAAACTTGTTTAGGTTGTTATAATCCCTTAAAGAAGAGAAAGATGGTGTGTATTTTCCATAACAGGGGGCAGTACATACCTAAATCAGTGCAAGCAAGTGCCATTCTTCTGTTCGAGTAAGACAGTAGCAACGAATGGTAATTGGGGTGAAAAATCCCGCAATTTTCAAATGACTTCTTTATCAGATCGTTCAACCTCTAGCAAAATGACAAGCACATCAGAGTCCCTTTCATCACTGGCAATGAGTGAAGAGGTAAATGTGTAAAACAACAACGTTTATGAATGATGAAAGTTTTGTAACCATTTGTTACAATTCAGTAAATTTGTTTTGTCTTCACAGGACCATGTCTAATATGGTGTCGCCCCGAGACTTAGACATGTTATGGTTATATGTTACAATGCCACCAATACTTTTCAGCAACTGGGCATCATTTCATTCATTTTTAACATTTTGATTGGTATTTCCAGAGATTACCAGTAAAAACTACACATTGTCACTTTAAGCGTGGTTCACACAGCAGAATAATCACGCCAGTTGCTGACCTCATCCTCCCTTTCTGTTGATATTAAAGCTATTTACGATTACCATATCAGCTCTAAGGATAATCCTGTCAGATAATCCTACCATGTGTGGTCTATTGCAAGCGCTCTGACCAGTTTAGCATGTTAGAACCACACCGATCCTAAATCCAGGCTTTTAAACATGTTGGATAGTCTTAGTCTGATTTTTTTGGGGTCAAGCGAACATGCTGCATGTTGAATGCGACATCTTGCAAATCAGAAAGCAAGGTGACTGAAGCATACACCCAATCCTCCTTGTCCGTGTTTGTATACTTCAAAGTCACATTTTATTGTGCAGGATTTCCTGTTTGACCCGACAATGTTTGTGAGAAAGCAGTTTGTGTCATGTGCCACGTTGCTCCACACTACACGCTGAATGACTGGTACAGTCGTGATTTTTTTTCATCACCACATGTGTGGTTTCTCATGCTCTGAAAATTAACCAGCAATTATAAAATCTGCCGTGTGAACCGGGCTTTACAGGAAATATGTCTGTTTATGATAAAAGTCGAAACTGACTCTCATACTGATAGGTGTGTGCTCAGCAGTAGCTCAGGAGGTGGAGCGGGTTGTCCAGTCATCGGAAGGTTGCAGGTTCGACCCCAGCTCCGACCAGAGAATGCTGCTGTTGTGTCCTTGGGCAAGACATAGCCCATCTTGCCTGCTGGTGGTGGTCGGAGGGACCGGCAATGCCAGTGTTCAGCAGTCAGTGCACCCCAGGGCAGCTGTGGCTACATCGTAGCTCATCCCCACCAGTGTATGAATGGGTGAATATGTTGTGAAGCGCCTTGGGGGGTTGTAGAACCCTAAGAAGGTGCTATACAAATACAGGCAGCATTTACTTTGTTTATTTCAGTGATATTTGGACTTGATTCACCCGACTAAAACAGCAGAGGAGAGAGAGCCACAGCAGGAATGATTTTTGGTTTTATCTGCTCAATTTCTGTGTTCTTCTCGAACTAGTGAGGTGCTTTCACTGGTGTTGCTGTGCGTACACAAAAACAGAACAGCTGATCTGGTCACCAATAAAATTATTGATTCCACAAGAACAAACTCAGTTTAAGTGACTGTGTGTCAGCAGATCTGCTGCTGCTCTCAGAGCTCGTTTCAGTTTGAACCTCCGGTTAAAGAAAGGTAACCCAACCCTCTCTGTGCACTTTAGGACAACCTCATTCGGCGGCTTAAGGCAGCAGACGTCTATGGAAGACGAATATGTAAGGCAGGGCTGAGGACGGAGCTGGAACAATAGTGCCTCTGTGCCCCAGCACCCCTCTGGATCACATTTCCTCCCAGGCCCAGATCGAAATGCGGTGGGGGCCCTGTTGCTGATCTAGCAAGCGGGTAAGGAAAGCCACACAGAGGGTAGGGTGCCGTATGTCTATAGTGATTAGGATCACAATCACAACTGTTGCTGTTGTAGAGGACAAAGAAAAGCCAGACAGGAGAACGAAACACCGGAGAAAGGGGGTGGACACTTGGGCCTGCTGAGACTTAGTATCTGGATGCTGATGTTGGAGAATGACTGTTTGCTTCCTGTCCTACATGTTAGGGTCTAACAGGGTCTAACAAAGGATCTAACAGGGATGCAGTGGTGCAGTTTTGTCAAAAAGCAGAGAAGTTCAAGCATGAAGTCTAAAAGGGGATGGACCAGTAGTAACGATATTATTTGTCTGAACAACGAGATGAAATGTAAAAAACTTAAAACATGAACTGTTTTATGGGGTGCTGATTGTAACATAGGGGGACAGCCTGGACCCTGGACAGGTCTCCAGCCTGGACCCTGGACAGGTCTCTAGCCTGGACCCTGGACAGGTCTCCAGCCTGGACCCTGGACAGGTCTCCAGCCTGGACAGGTCTCCAGCCCATCACAGCGACAGAGACAAATAGCGGTCATACACTAACTCACACCTAGCGACAATACAGGGTCCCCAGTTAACCCAGCATGGATTCTGGTCTGTGGGAGCAAATGTCCGGAGACGCTCATCACACAATCCACTGTTGGTGTGAATGGCAACCCGTCATGAAGATGCAGGAAAACCAGATAGCATCTATTCTGCCCTCTGTGTAAACGAGGCGTAGACGAGGCAGCAGCTGTCCTCGGCTCTGTGTGTTAACTACACACACCCGTAAGTAAACGGTATTCATCACACCTGCTCCAGGTCTTCCTTCACTCCCCAGCAGGGTTGTGTCTCTCATGTCACAATTCTCTGTGGGATCCTCATTTTTGTTTGATAAAAAAAATCTTAGTACATATATTTTTAAATATGTTTAATAAATGAAGGTATAATTATAGCTGTTAGTTTTTACTGGATTACTTTCTAGTTCTTATTTTTATTATTCTTGTTAAAAAGAAAAGGTGTTTATTGAAGGCACAAACCTGTGGAAGTCAAAGTCAATGGAGGAGAACCGGGACTGCAGGATGGCCCAAAGACCCCAGAAGAAGTTTGATGCCTGATGGAAAAACAAAGGAAAATAATCAGTTTATCACACATGAATAAACAGAATAAAAGAGTGACAAAATCGACCACAACTTTCATCTTTTACAGTCAAATTATTATTCTAATTGATTTAACTGTAACAAGTAGTTATAAAGCCCTCAAAGAAAAAAAATAAACTGTAAAGTAAAATAAATTAAGTAAATATACATTTTAATCACTTTAAAGAATTTTGCATTAAGTAGAAAATTTATATTTTTAAAGTCCCATTAGAACAAAGTTGTTCTCTAAGTTTGACCCATCCCCTGGGGGAGCAGTGAGCTGCAGATACAGCTGCACCCGGGGACCATTTGGTGGTTTAATTCCTGAATTCAACCCCTTAATGGTGAGTGTCAAGCAAGGAGGCATTGGGTCCCATGTTTTAAACGTCTTTGGTATGACCTGACTTGGAATCAAACCCCGATCTCCCAGTCCCAGGTCAGACACTCTACCACTGGGTCACTGAGCTGGTTAGTTTCTTTGTCGATGCTTCAGAACTCTGCATTTGCAGAAAGTTAGTTTATTTAATATACTATAAGATAATGCAATATTATAATGTACACATATACATATTACAATATTGTATTATATTATATTATATCATATTATATTATATTATATTATATTATATTATATTATATTATATCATATTATATTATATTATATTTTGTTATTATATTATATTATATTATATATTATGGGATGCACACAGCACTGTTGAAAACAAAGGTGTTTAGATCCAGTCATGTTTAAGACCCCCGCTCTTCCTCGTCCCTGTAGAGACTTGTCTGTGGGACCAGGTCCTAGTGTCTGGTCCACAACCACTTCAGTCTTAAACACACTAGGGTCTGACTTAGAGGCAGCTATTGACTGACCCGTCTAGTCAGGAGCCGATAATCTGTAAAACACTTGGCTGTTTTTAAAAGGCAACAGTCTAAATGATGCTTGCAGTGTTGCTTTTTTACGTTTGGTTACAGTTTATCGTGCCATGCTGCAGAGTTGTAAAATCAAACTTCTGTGACCCCCAGTTGTCAGCTTGTAACTGCTCTCCAGACTGCTGCTGCTGCATGCCAGCTGCACGCTGCTCGGTCAGAATGACAAACCTCTGTATTGAATGGTTCCCTCCTTAATAGCTTTGCTCACTTAGGCTTGCAGACTTTCATGCCTCCATAAATTTCTGTTGTTCTCCACCCGTATTGTAAATCTTCATGGTAAGGCCACTAATAGCGAATTCTAATAAGATCCAGACGGGCCTCTGTTCTGTGGCCCGGTGATATAATCACATTTTTATTTGATAATTAAATAAAGGGTGGAATGAAATACTTGAGGGGCATTGTGTGGTTTTCCTTTGGCTTTTTCTCCTAAACTGGCAGATTTTCATCTCTAATCTCTGACTTTAGTCGGGGGAAAAGGGCTGAGTGGGTTTCCATTTTGATTAATAACTGCTCTCCATTAAAAAAGCATTAATCTAACGCTGAGCAGAGCCTGTTGGTAACAAGGACTCACAGAGCAAAAGGCAGGGGAGACGTGTGAGAAGAGTGACATCAACAGAGCAGCAGGTCTTCGCTCCAACATTGCGGGGAACCTCCACAGACAAGATGACGAGCTGCAGAGACCCCACTGCGTCTTGGCAACATTTGCCAGAGGTTAAGATCAAGAGGCAGCTTCGCTCTGCAGATCTCTGGCAACTGGCCACCACTTTGTCAAAGCCACACAGCTCGGTTCAGCACAGACCCATTTATTTAATTACCATCTGAGTCTTTAAAAAGGAAGAGCTGAGTTTAGTTTGAATGTTCCAGCGGAGGCATGTCATTTCATTCATTTGATGAATGAAATTCTAGAAAATAGGCATAAAATACAAACTAAACACAGCAAAATCAACTGTTTCTGTTTATGTCTCCAGCAGACCGTTAGAACCGATTTGAGAAACACTTTTGGCTGTAATGGTTTGGTAAAAATGAAAAGGTCAAATATTTTTAGTGAAGAAATTAAATCTGTTTCTCTTTGAGCTGTGAGAAAATATTCAGTCCCCCGTTTAGTCACAAAGCTTCTCAATTATGTCTTACGTTATTTTGTCAATCTACCTTTAATCTGGTAATTTTGCAACATTCCCACGGTTTTTACGAATGGCGGATCCTTGATTCTCAATAATACCTAGCAGTAGCGTTCCTTCCTGCTTCTGCAAGTCAAAAGTGAAGTGAAATGATTTGGATTACAGAATCAGAGTGTGAGCACCCAGGATGTGAGGCGCCTATCACCCAACATCATGGGAATGTTTAGGAATCAAATTACAGCTAATTAGTTGAACACATAAAACTCAACTGCAAATATCATCTGATGTGTGTTTGTATTTACATAAGCAATGTATTAGTTTAAATGGAGGGGGTGGAGCTTAAAACGTATACTGCAGCCTGTCAATGGGGGGCATGTTGGCTTAGTTTCATTTGTCCTAAATTTGGTCGTTTACCATCCCAAATTTCTCTCTCGCTTCCTGACCACCTAAGCTAAACCGAGATGGACTGGAAACTGATTCCAGATGCTTGTGACAACTTCCTTGTTAGCAAAAAGTCATCTCAAGATATGCTGAATCCCCAAGACTCAGAAACTTCCACCAAAGAAGAAAATCTTGCAGTGAGGCCCAGCGAGGACCTGGGTCTGGATTTTCCTGTCAGGTTGTTGTCATTTAACAAAACAAAAGAATATCTGAAGCAGTTCCTTAGAGGTCCTGAAATCATCTACACTGAACAACAATATAAACGCAACACTTTTGTTTTTGCTCCCATTTTTCATGAGATGGACTTAAAGATATAAAATTAATTCCAGATACACAATATTACCATTTCTCTCAAACATTCTTCACAAATCAGTCTAAATGTGTGATAGTGAGCACCTGTGCTTTGCTGAGATAATCCATCCCACCTCACAGGTGTACCACATCAAGATGCTGATCTGACATCATGAGTAGTGCACAGGTGTACCTTATACTGCCCACAATAAAAGGCCACCCTGGAATGTGCAGTTTTGTCTCACAGCAAAATGCCACAGATGCCACAAGCATTGAGGGAACGTGCAATTGGCATGCTGACAGCAGGAATGTCAACCAGTTCTGTTGCTCATGCATTGAATGTTTATTTCTCCACCATAAGCTATCTCCAAAGGCATTTCAGAGAATATGGCAGTACATCCAACCGGCCTCACAACCGCAGATGACGTGTAACCACACCAGCCCAGGACCTCCACATCCAGCAGGTTCACCTCCAAGATCGTCTGAGACCAGCCACTCAGACAGCTGCTGAAACAATTGGTTTGCATAACCAAACAATTTCTGCACAAACTGTCAGAAACCGTCTCAGGGAAGCTCAACTGCATGCTTGTCGTCCTCATCGGGGTCTTGACCTGACTCCAGCTCGTCACCATAATAGACTTGAGTGGGCAAATGCTCACATTCGATGGCATCTGGCACATTGGAGAGGTGTTCTCTTCACGGATGAATCTCGGTTTACATTGTTCTGGGCAGATGGCAGACAGCGTGGGCGTCGTCGTGTGGGTGAGCGCTTTGATAAACTCTATGCGAAGAAGATGTGTTGCACTGCATGAGGCAAATGGTGGTCACACCAGATACTGACCGGTTCTGAGTCCCCAGACCCCCAATAAAGCAAAAAACTGCACATTCCAGGGTGGCCTTTTATTGTGGGCAGTATAAGGTACACCTGTGCACTACTCATGATGTCGGATCAGCATCTTGATGTGGCACACCTGTGAGGTGGGATGGATCATCTCAGCAAAGCACATGTGCTCACTATCACACATTTAGACTGATTTGTGAACAATGTTTGAGAGAAATGGTAATATTGTGCATCTGGAATGAATTTTAGATCTTTAAGTCCATCTCATGAAAAGTTGGAGCAGAAACAAAGGTGTTGCATTTATATTTTTGTTCAGTGTATGTACTGGTTTAAATATTTAGATGTTTGTTTTTTTTCACAATAAAGCCACTGTGAGAAAAAACAGTCATGTAAATGATCTTTTCACCCTTTCAAAAATCATAATGAGATGATAAATCCTAAAATGCTGAGGAGCTTTTCCGCTTTCTGTTTAAAGATAAACACGTTGTATTTAGCATCATTCATTTTGACACATGGGTTGATAAAAATAGGATGAGCTGGTGACTTGGCCTGTTATGTGTCTCTCCTATGTGTGTGTGTGAGAAAATCTGAACTCAATCAACAACATGTTATCTCTTTTACCAGTCCGTTCCAGGCTATACCCCCCAAAACCATCTACCCCCACCCTCCCTTTTCTAATTTCTCCCTCTCACTTTATTTGGCCAATGCTCTGGCTGTTTTAAAAAAGTAATATGCCTCCTCATCACTTCTGGGCTATTTCAGGCGACGTTCACACCACCTTCACCACCCCCTCCAAAATTGCTTGGACAATTCTGCATATTGTGTTTGAGCTGCGAAAGCACTTTTAGACAGATAGCCCACCACCACTTGAGCCACCAAAGAATGAAAATGGTGGTCATGAGAAAAATTATTTTGGCTGCCTTGTTTCATTTTTCCCTGCGGTGGCTTCTAATCAACTCGGATTGAGTCCATCAAACTTTGAACAGCGGTGGCTCAATGCTCTGGTTTCTTTTTTCTTTTTTGGAGTGGAGGGTGTTGGAAAACTAAATTGTTGGCTTTGTGTGATGCTGCACATACTAATCTTATCATATCAAGATGTCTGAATTCATCCAGGACAGGAAGGAAAATGAGGAATCAGTCACTTTCCATTAGCCTAGTGAACTAGACCAAATTCTTGCTTTGCAAAGAATGGTCTAGGCATGTTCCATTGGAACCTCAGCAGCTCCTACCAGGACTCTGGCTAGCCAATCACAACTCTCTAGAGGGGTTTCAAACACATAAAGAGCTGTGATTGGTCCATAATGGTGGGCCAATAATAGTGCTCTATCTGCTTAGTGAACAAATCACAGAGCTTTATCCGCTTTGTGGGCCAATCAGGGCACTCTATATGCCTGGTGGGTGGGATGATGCAACAGAGTGAAACAAGAGAATGTCACATTCATTGTCCAGTGGAATGTGGAGATCATTTGAAAGACAACGGTAGAACCCGCCCCACAACCGAGAGCCGTCAATGGAGCATGGCCAGACTAAATAATACATTTATTTAGTCTGGCTTGCCAGGCTAACTTTCCATATGATAAATGATAATGATAAATGACCCGCACTTGTGTAGCGCCTCTCAGAGTAAGGGCTCCAAAGCGCTTTACACTACAGTGTATCATTCATCCATTCACACACTGGTGGGGATGAGCTACAATGTAGCCACAGCTGCCCTGGGGCGCACTGACAGAGGCGAGGCTGCCGAGCACAAGCGCCACCGGTCCCTCCGACCACCACCAGCAGGCAAGGTGGGTTACGTGTCTTGCCCAAGGACACAACAGTAGAATTTTCTGTCCGGAGCCGGGATCGAACCTGCAACCTTCAGATTACTGGACAACCCACTCTACCTGTTGAGCTACTGCTGCCCCAAAGTCTCTTAACACCAGACAATAGACACATTTTCACCAGAGAACATGGATGAGCACACAACGATCACACAAGGATCACACATGGAAGACACAAGGATAATTCTAGGGTCACATGAAGATCACACGAGGATCCCACTAGGATGGGGTCACTCTAGGACAGGAGTACGGAACCCTTGTGGTGGACAGCTGCCACCCAGCACATTTTAGTAGTTTCTCTGCTTCAACACAGTTAAGCAGCTCATCAGGCTCTGCAGAAGACTGTTAATCACCTGTTTATTAAATGCATGTGTGTTGAAGCAGGGAAACCTCTAAAACATGCTGGATAGCAGCTCTCCAGCACCTGGGTCCCCTACCCCTGCTCTAGGATCACACACTGACCAGTGAAAATTTGCAGACTTCAACGTAGAGCTGTGTAACTTCAGCCTCTGACACTGTGACCTCTCGTCCCGTGTTGTGTTTGTAACTCTCCAGATAAGCTGTCAGCCAATCCCTCTGCAGCTCATGGCTCGGATACTGGCTGTAGTCCACGTCTGTCACACCTAGAAGAAAAAGGAGAAAAAAGTTTAATTTTACTTACTTCCTTTCAAGATAAAAACCAGAAGGCACTTATGCTCAGTAAGATTTTTTTTAAAGTTAACATTTTTAAATTTATATAAAAATCCAAAAAATATACAGGAATGACTGAAATACCAGCATGAAAAGAAGCCAGTGAACAAGAGGATGAATAGAAGGTCACGCCGAAGCCTAAACAGGTGAGTTTTCAGCTGCTTTTGAAAGGAAACCACTGAGTCCACTGATCTCAGGCTCAGGAGGAACCTTTGGTCTCAGAACCCCATTGCAGCCAAACTATAGTCATAATTCAACTCACAAAACATCCACTCTGAGAGGAGAAACTATTTTAAACTAAGCTGGAATGTTGAACACTTCTAAAATATTAGCAATTTTTCATATATTGGCTCTTTTGTATGACATCAAGCTAATACTATTAAGACAGAATTGAATTTACATTTTATTTCATGTATTTTTATCACTCATATTCCAAGTTTTGCAGGTTGGTGTAAATATTTGCATTCACCACAAAATAATGTTTCATTCCTTTTTAAATGTTCAGTTGAAACAAACGCTTGTTGTATTTTCGTGTGTCCCCATTTTTGTTTATTTTCTCTCTGTCTGCAGCTCTAGAAGCAGAATCTTGTTCATCATTGATTGTTTTTTTAACCCACAAAGTGAATTCAGAGATTTCTCCTGGTAGAAGCCGACAGCGGGGCTTTTACTTCACACAACCGTAGAAACTCCTCATCACAACACAAACCTACCAGCAAATTCGTTGAAGTGATTGCCAATATCAAAAGCCTGGTAGTTGTAATCTGCATACTCGTAGTCGATGAATTTCACGGTTCCTGTGGGAGAGCAGCGTCAGCAGCAGTTACCATGACAACGGGACAAACATGAACGGTATGGACACACGGCTGACTACCTTCACCCTTTTGAAAATGAAAACTCAACGTTGTGAGGGTCAAAGTGGCACACATTCTCTTTAAAATGAGTCGCTTTAAGGGCCTTTGCTAACGACGTTAATAATGAACTCCTAATGAGGAAGAAAAGCTCAAATTTGTTTCCGAATCCAGAAAAAGGAACAATTCTGTTAGCTGCTTGAAAGAAAATATTGTTTTTTATTAGCTTCATTAAAGCAAATTTGGTAAACGAGTTAGCTTAAAACATTTTTTTTTCATGCCTCTTAGCAACGTTCTGTAGTATAGCTATAAATATGTTGTGGAGATTAAAAAGAAATCAATAAAGTGGTTCTCTCACATTTGTCAAATAACCTCTGACAATAACTATTGGACCGTCCGGTTATCTGTCTCGCCGGACCACCACACTTTCTCACTCCCTTGGGTCCTGCGCTCATTACACACTCATGAATTTAGCTCCGGAGCACCACTGATGAGAGGTTCAGCTCTCACATCAGAGAAGGAGAAACAGCCGGCTGCTACCACTTCCACTTTAGGACAAACTACCAGAGTCCCACAAAGAAAAACACCATTTGAAATCACGGACAACAAGAGACGTTTGGACCTAGAAAATGGCGACTGGTGTTTAGATATCTTGTTTGCTCTGGCGGTGTGGGTTTTGTTTCCGTTGGACCTGGATCTAGAGGGGAGGGGCGAGTGTTTGCAATAAAACCTAGCGTGTTTGCAGATTTGCCATGACAGCGTTAACAGAGCTAGAGTTTGTATGGCAAAATCAATAATGAATTAACTAATCATTAGATGTGTTTAACATTTTTGATGATGTCTCACGGTTTCCCTCGCCTTCTTTTTGGTTGTAGATGATGTTTTTTGTGAGTAGATCATTGTGGCAGAGAACAGCCGGTGAGTTTATGCCTGAGAGGTGTCTCTTCAGAGTCTCCATTTCCCTCAACAAAGTCTCCAAGCTGGGTGTCTCTCGTAGAGCTGCGGGTCTGTAAAGCAAAAGAAATATTTATAATTTTCTAACCTTTTAGAGGGAAACTTCTTGGGAGACGAACCTTGGTGGAGTTGTAAAGTAAGTAAGTAAAGGTTTATTTATAGAGCGCCTTTCACAGATATAAATCACAAAGCGCTGTACAACATGATAAAGATCAGGGCAAATACCTCTAACCAATAAACACATCAGAAAAACAATAGCAGTGATAAACGTAGAAAATAAAATCATGAGTATAAACAAAGTGAAGGTGTGAACCCGAACAAAGCCATCTTTGTGGCTGTAGAAGGCCAACATCAGCAGCCTAACGTCCACCAACACAGAATCCACATGAAACAGCTGGAGACATTTTTATTAAATATGTTAATGAAATAATGTCACGATGCTCCTTTTCATCATTAATCAAACTGTGATGCCAGTTTCTGATCCTTGAACAGATCTGACATGCTGATGTTAATTTTAATTTCTTTAAAATTATTATATTTAATCCTTTAAAACAAAAGTAAAGGTTTCTAGGAGTTTTTAATAGTATTAAAGGTTGTAACATTGTAAATATATAGGTAGTAATGTGTTATGTTTTAGAAATGCTTTAGTTTAGTCATACTTTATCTCAATTAAGCTTTGGTTCAACAGGATTTAAAAAAATAAAAGCGCTCTACTAATCGGTTGACCTGGAAGTTCAGGAGATTTAAATGAAAATTTGTTTTTTACAAACCTGGAAATGAATATTATGGGAGAAACAAACTTCCTGGTTATAAATGATTGTTTAGTAGCTGAGGCCTTTGACCGGGACACAGGGACACTTTCCTTACGTGCCAGGCCACGATGTGTTTAAATCTACCTAAAAAATAAAAATATCTACATTTTGAGTTTTAGATTATAATAATTAATTTAGAGCAGCAAAAAAGTTTCAGAATCATGTCAAACAGCAGATTTTGGTTTTCTATATTTTCAGTCATCTTGGCTGACAGAACTTCACAATCACGATCAGCTCACAGGAAGAGAGTGTTTGTAAACCAGTGCGAGGCTCCAGGCCTTGTTTTCACTTTGTTGATTACTCAGTTTATCAAAGACACAACTAATGTCCTTGGACGTCAGAGCAAAATGCACCTGGAAGAAAAGCTGTGCAAGCATCCATCTCCTAATTAATTTTTGTGTTTCCTTTTCAGTCCGAGCGTCGGCCCTGACAGGAGGGTTCTTTAAACAGAACCGTTTACGCACGACTTATTTACTGCAGGGGGAACAAACAGATGCTGTGGTATTGTACACACTCACAGACATGATTTAGCAAGGCCTGTGAGGAACAAGAGCAGAACGAAGAGGGGCCTTGTTTATGGCCGTGACACCGAGGCTCTGCTTCTTTATACAGTCCACCTGCGCATCCCCAACAAAACAACAAGTTAGTGGTTCTCTCCATCAGGTCCATTTAGTGAGGCGAGGACTGACAGATCAAGGTCAGGTCGGCTGAATAAAACGAGGTTGAGCTTCAAAGTGAATAAAAGATGCCTGAATAGCTGCTCTCTGCTTAAGTTGTGACCTCTCTAATCAGCTCAGCATAATCACAGAAAAGATACTTGAAGGAGAAACTTTTATTCTAACCTGACAATAAAATGCTCTGCATTTATTTTCATCTCATATTTTTATTCGCTATAGGCTCAAAAAGGAGTGTTTAATCACATATACTCGCCTATAAAGTCTTTGTCATTGAAAAGCAACCCCCCCCCCCCCCCCCCCCGACACGTCCAATTCATCTAGATCCTCTCCAGTCTGAATCAAAGCTGGCGTCTGAATGGTGAATCAGCCTGATTCCTTTTCAGCTCATCCATTCCCGTTAAGCAGGCCAACTGACTTCATCATGGGAGCCCACCAACACTCGGATTGAAAAGCTAAATGAAATCCTTGCGTCGACTTTAAATGGGAACCTGTCGTCTTGCTATCAGATCTTTTCCTCTCCTTTCTGTTCTCTTTATGAGGAACGAGTGAGTGGAGTGCATTTGCCTCCTGCTCCCTGTCAAGCTTCTGTAAAGTAATTAGTGGAATTTCCTTCTCTGGCGCTTCATTATCAATGTGCCTTATTTACATACGATTTCAAACACCAGCCGTGCACTGTGGATTTTATTTAATTATTCCCTTTTTTTGCAGTTTTATGCGACATGTGGGGATGCAAATGAGAGACTCGGCAGGGGGTCTGATGGAGGAAGAGGAGGCTCGTGCCGTCTTCCATTGCTTTTCTTTCTTGTACTGTTCCTCCCCCCTCGAAACTTGCAGCTGCTGTAGCTTCCTTCATTCTCCTGCACCCCCCCCCCCCCCCCCTCGCACCACCACCACCTTCCCTCTCCTCCTTCAGCCTATCTCTCCATCTCTCTTTCTCACAGCGGGTGGCTTGAGAGGCTGAAGACCTCCTCTGCAGGTGCAGCCTCTTCCTGCTCTCTCTGTCTTTGCTTTTTTTTTTAACATTTCCGCTGAAGACCACATTCACATCAGCAGCTCAAATTCAGTCTCAAGTACAAAAGTTTCTCTGATGCATGTTTAAACCCCGTTTTCTTTTCTCTTTTCCTACTTCGCTTTGGCCTTGGGCTCTTGTCATACACAGATGCTCACTCAGGAGACGAGTGATTATCCATGTAACACACTGCACTCCCCATGTCCCAAATCTTAGATTTAGCCTTGCTATAATTTCTCCTCGTGATTTTCTCTTTGCTTTAAGGTTTATATGGTATTTATTTATCATTTTAAAGTTGTTGTTATTCACTCTAAAGGTCTCTGGGCTTCACTGAGTGGAGTCACACAAATGTCTCACAATATAGCGCCATCTGTTGGGCTTCTGACTGTAGTGCAGTCTTGGTTTTAGTTGCTATCTTTGAAAATTTGAAAAATTCAACATAAACTGAGATTAAATCTAAGATCTTAAAAAATATGTGACAGTTGAGGATTGACTGGAGCAGACTGGATCCTCTCCAGGTCAGACTTCACTTTGACTGTAAAACTGGACACATCTTCTCACTGATGATATGCTCTGTTGGTCTGCCGTAAGCCAGAGGCTCAGGCCTTTCTCCTCGGTCTGCATGGACTTCTGACCTCCTCACTACAAACACTAACAGGGCTGAACATTTGACCGATAAGCGAGAGCTTAACAGGAAGCTCGTGGCCAAGCGCCTGGTTGTTTGTAGTTTCTGAGGGCCCCAATCTCGCCTCTCACCCTATGACCCCTGTCAGAGGTAATGCAGTGTCATTGCCATGAAGCCCATCCCCCCCACCCCTCCTTCACCATGTCAGCTCACTGGAAGTTGTTCTAAAGCAAAACAGCCAACCAAACTGAAGAGTAGTTTTCCTAAAAAGCAACAAATCACTGAATGGGAGGCATGTTAGAGGGTTTATACAAGAACAGTGCTGGTTCTCATCACAAACAAACAGTTTCTCTACAGATTCCTGTTCCAAAGTTATCAGGATTTTAAATTTGTCTGCCAAATTTCCAGACTAAACACATGCTGATAAAAGATCATGCTATCCTAGGTTTGGTCCTACAGTGTGGTGTTTTGCAACACATCAGATAATACACACTATTAACCAATAACCAATTACACACAGAAATTTTCCTGTGAGATGAAAAATCTTGCAAGACCAATTATGACTTTGGAGGAAACAAACATGGCAGGTAATTATGCCGATTTATGACCCGATTTAATCTCCAGGAAGTGCTTGGTCATCATAATGGATCTAAAGATAATCTCATCAGATAATCCTACCGTGTGTGCTCAGAAGCACACTAGAACCCTTCCAATTATGAATCAGGGCTTTCAGACATGTAAGATTGTCCTTAGAAATTGGACAGAGACAAATTAATTAGTTGAATGTGACCTTTAGCCAGTCAGAAAGCAAGCTGACAAAACAAGCTGGACTTCGCCATGTTAGTATACTCCAAAGTTACATTTAATCTCATGAAATCTTTCATCTGGCCGAGAAAACTTAGTGCGTGAAATCAGTTTGTGTGCATGGATTTTGCTGTGTTGCTAGACACCACACACTTTAGGACCAACACTGGTACATCCATGGTTTGTTTTCCATCACTACGTGTATGGTCTCTCATATGAAACCCAGCTGGAAATGTAAAGATTCTGTCGTGTGAACCAGGTAAACACATGAGCCCTACTAGTTTGTGTTACCACTGCCAAGACACTAATGCAGAAATCTGATCTAATCAGTTAGCAATTCATCGAGTCCTCATTCAGTCAAAAACAGCCATAGATTGATGAGGATCTGAAAAAGATTTCTTACTTTTCTTTGGTGCAGATTGTGTTTTGTACAATGGCCTATAAGAGCCTTAGAAAATTTGCAGAATTCTTGGAAAATCATGCAACATGTGTAACGCTAGTCAGGAGGTTTTGCAAACAGAATGTGTCTATTGTTTGGCTTAGAGATGGTAACATAGTCATACATAGAGTACAGAGTTAATTGGTCCTTGTCAGGTGATGTATCGAGTGCTGTAGCACGTTGTATGATGGGATGGCTAGGTGTATAAAAGACGTACCGGTCACTTTGTGTCTGAGCTTATGAACCTGCTCAAGAAGGCAAAAAAGCTCAACGTAGGCAGGTCGCGTGTCTGGCAAGGACTGGTTATGAAAGCATGAGAGTGAAAAGGTGAAAAAGCAGGAGACGACCTTGACAGGGTTTGGTGACCAAAGCATGAAACAAAGGTGACTCATTAAAACAACACAGAAGAGTTCAAATAGCTGATAAATGACTCAGGCGGAGAGGGTCAGACTCTGGTGTCAACCAGTTCAGAATCAGAACATTCAGAACCCACAGCCTTCTTTCTGTGTTTACATCTAGTAGCCCCGCCCCCAGACTATCCGACCAATCAGCTGACTGACACCTGATTTTATTTAGTTTTTACTTTAATCTGTATGAAAAGATACTGAATCAAGAGGAAAAACAGACCATTCATTATGAGCTGATAGGGAGCAGGGGAACCAAACTACAGGTTTTAAAACAGGCTCTGAGTAAAGCTGACAGGTATTTAAGAAACATGGGATAACTCTTCTTAGCTTTGGGTTTTACATTAAATATCATTGTGTCTAGTAACAGATATCACCACGGTTTGCACAATACCTGTTGGTGCACCACTGCTCAGCTGAGCAGGTGTGGACACTGCGCTGCATCAGAGAGAGGAAGTGGGACATTTTTGTCCAGAGCAGAGGTTTCTCTGGCTGGCCTCGCCTTGACTGGATGGAGTGGATTTTTCCCATCTCAGCTGCAATCAATCTGCAGACAGAAAACATTTTCGCAGATGACCCTGGCCAACAATGCTATTGCACAAACAAGAATTATCAGAGCAGAAACCCAACTCCCTTTCCATTAAGAGCTCTTATCTGGTTCTTCTTGGCCTCTCTATGCGAGTGACCTTTTAACTAGTTGGTTTTGGGTTTTCTGAGCTGTGACTGACAATTGTGTGTTTTTAAAACATCTGATGTGCCCTGGGTGTTCATTCTAGCCTAGCTGTGTAGCCTAATGTCCTGTAGTGATTGACATTGTTCAAGTAAGGAAAATGGTCAATGACCAAACAATGACAAAATTCATGACTCACTTTATTTTTTGTGCAAATCCACTCTTACTTAGCAACTTTTTTTATATTTTGAAATCATTTTCTTGAACCGGTATGTGCTAAATTGTCCCTCTACAGGGTTAATGAAAGCCCACCGAGTTTCTATCACTGTCTGTGGCCAAAATACTGCATTTGCATCTTCACAATAGCTGGTTGGTCTGTTGGACTTAATTTAGATGTTAAGAAGATGAATGTACAGGGAGGAGATAGGATTTGCTTTCGGTTGAGGCTGTATGTAATGTTGACCGGAGCAGACTGTCAGAGTCCAAGCCCCCAGGCCGGGCTCTCCCAGCTGACCGGCTTCAGACTTGGACCACATTACCCAGCATGCCCCTCGCGGGGATTCCCTCCATGTTGCACCTGCGTCAATCCATGTCTATATATGGAAGACGCCACACCGGCTCTTCACTCAGTCATCGTTCCACCGTGATCCATGATCAGAGTATTCCAAAGCTACTACAGCTAACCTCCACCTTTCCTCCTCAGACCTCATCCGTCAGCCTTTACAGCACCGCTTTCAGCCAACCGTATGTGTAATAAAAGCTCTTACTCCCGAACCCAGTCTTCGAGTCTGACAGGATGACTGAGTCCATTAATCCAGCGGAGTTCGAGCAGGTGAAGAGAGAGATGGAGCAACTGGTGAACGAGAACGTTCAGCTCCACGCCCAGGTCGACCGGCTTAACACCAGACTGAACTCCCAGACCGATCTCTCCATGCAGTTGTCTACTGCCGTCACGGCACTCCAGCAGCAGGTTCATGCTCTCCACCTGCAAGCCCTCCCTCCCCCGACGGGAGAGCCACACTTCAGTCTCCCGGAGAAGTGGAATGGAGAGACGGGGAGTCCCGACGGTCTGCTCGCTACCCTCGAGATGCAGTTCGAGTGCCACCCAGGACGCTTCCCCACTGCGCGCTCTCGAGTGGCACAGCTCACCTCCCTACTCACCGGACGCGCTGCAGAGTGGGCCGCTGCGCTCTATAATTCCAAATCACCGGCCTGCAATGACTACGCTGCATTTGTGGCTGCCCTCAGAAAGACGTTTGTTCCACCCAGCAGCGAAATGGGGGCAGAGGCACGACTCCTAAAACTCCGCCAGAAGGAGCGCTCTGTGTGCGCATATGCGTCGGAGTTCCGCACCATCTCCGCCAAGCTGCGGTGGGATGACTCTGCCCTTCGAGCCGTCTTCTTGGAGGGACTGGCAACCTACATCCGGGATGAGATGGCGGGAAAGGAGCTGCCCCAGAACCTGGATGAAGTGGTGGATCTGGCGCTGCGCATGGATCAGCGGGTTCTGGTTCCCAAGCCCTTCACTCGCCCATCCAGGGCGCCTGGACCTCTTCCTCGCTCCCCCACGCCTGCTCCCGGACCCGCTTCTACTGATGAGCCCATGCAATTAGGCCACCTTCCTCCAGAGGAGAGACAGCGACGGTGGCGCAAGGGTCTCTGTGCCTATTGTGGCTCCTCCCACCACAGACGCCTGAATTGTCCATTACGTTTGGGAAACGAAGGAACCCACTGAGTATCGGGGTCGCTCAGCCTGGGTCACCTTCAGCCCCCGCCTCTTCAAATAGACTCCTTCTTCATGTTACCCTCCTTCATGGTGAGGCCTCACTCCAGATGCACGCGCTGGTGGACTCGGGGGCTGCTGACAATTTTATGGACATGGATCTGGCTAAGCGCCTACGGATCCCCATGACCCCCTTGGAGAGAGTTGTGCCAGTGACCTCGGTGGACGGTAGGCCCCTCCAACCCTATCCGGTCCAAAACCGAACCCAGCCACTCCAGATGATTGTCCAAGGCCACAGAGAGACCCTCCAGTTCCTGATCATATGTGCTCCCTCCTCTCCTCTAATCCTGGGATTTCCCTGGCTCCGTCTCCATGACCCCCGGATTTCCTGGTCCCAGGGCCGCCTTTTGGAATGGGGGACCCAGTGCCAGGCCCACCTCTCTCCTCCTCCATCCATGCCAGACGGCCCGACCGGTGACCCTGGCCCAACACCGCCCAATCTGCCACTGCCCTACCGGGACCTGGCTGCGGTGTTCGACAAGCGGCGCGCCACCACACTGCCGCCTCACCGCCCGTACGACATGGAAATCAAGCTGCAACCAGGAACCAGTCCACCCCGGGGGCGCCTTTTTTCTCTCTCTCCCGCCGAGTCCAGAGCCATGGAGGAATATATTGACCAGGCCCTCCAGCAGGGTTTCATCCGACCCTCGTCGTCCCCAGGTGCCGCAGGCTTCTTCTTTGTGAGGAAAAAGGAGGGTGATCTCCGCCCCTGTATAGATTACAGAGGACTGAACAAGATCACAGTCAGAGATCGCCATCCTCTGCCGCTCCTCACGTCCGCCCTGGATGCCATCTCCCAGGCGCGGATTTTCACCAAGCTGGACCTCCGGAGCGCCTACAACCTGATCCGTATCAAAGCTGGAGATGAGTGGAAGACGGCGTTCATCACCCCCACCGGTCACTGGGAGTACCAGGTGATGCCCTTCGGACTGTGCAATAGCCCTGCCGTTTTCCAACGCTTCATCAATGATGTCCTCCGTGACATGTTGGGATGGTGGGTGTTTGCCTACCTGGATGACATTCTGATCTACTCCAAGTCAGAGGCCGAACACCACCACCATGTTCGCGCTGTCCTGACCCGGCTCCTGGACAACAACCTGTTATGTAAGCCTGAAAAGTGCTCCTTCCACCAGCGGTCCGTTTCATTCCTGGGCTACCTGATTTCGGACCAAGGTCTAACTATGGACCCTCAGAAAGTCCAGGCGGTGAAGGACTGGCCCCTACCAACCAGCCTGAAACAACTGCAGAGTTTTCTGGGTTTCTGCAACTTTTACCGTCGATTTATCAAAGACTTTAGCACCATTGTAGCACCTCTCACCTCTCTCACCCGACCGAGCCCTCCTGGTCAGCCGTTCCGGCTCACCCCAGATGCCGTTCGGGCCTTCCACTACCTAGTCGCTCGTTTCACATCGGCTCCTATCCTGCGCCATCCGGATCAGGCAGTCCCTTTTGTGGTCGAGGTCGATGCTTCGGATGTCGGCGCCGGTGCCATCCTGTCCCAAGGCGGCCCAGATGACAGGCTACATCCCTGCGCCTACTTCTCCAGGAAGTTTTCCACCACCCAGCAGAAGTACGGCGTAGGGGATCGCGAGCTGCTGGCCATAAAATGGGCATTGGAGGAATGGAGGCAGTGGCTTCTGGGCACCACTCAGCCGTTCACCATCTGGACTGACCACCAGAACCTAACCCACATCCGGTCCGCCAAGCAGCTAAATCCTCGCCAGGCTCGCTGGGCCCTCTTCTTCGAACCCTACGAGTTCCATCTCGCCTATCGCCCCGGGACTAAAAACCAGAAGGCGGACGCCCTCTCCCGCCAGTTCACGCATTCAGCGCCCACGTCCGAGCCGGCGCCCATCCTCCCGGAGCACCGTTTCGTGGCCCACCTTGGGTGGCCATTGGAGGAGGCCATCCAAAACGCCCTCCGGGAAGACCCAGCGCCGCCAGAGACCCCCGCCGGTCGGCTCTACGTCCCCGCGGCCTGTCGCAGTGAGGCGTTGGCCTGGGCCCACTCATCACGCCTGTCTGGTCACGCGGGCTTCTCTCGGACTCTCAAGTTCTTGAAACGGGCTCTCTGGTGGCCACGTATCGAGAGGGACGTTAAGGAATTCACGAGCGCCTGTGACGTCTGCGCCCGCTCTAAGGCGTCCACCCAGGCTCCGGTTGACACCCTCAGACCTCTTCCGGTGCCCAGCCGCCCCTGGTCCCATGTGGGGCTGGACTTTGTCACAGGTCTCCCGCCGGTCAACGACCTCGACACCATCCTAACGGTCACTGACCGGTTTTCCAAAGCTGTTCACTTCATCGCCCTTCCGGGCCTTCCCTCGGCCCGACGCACTGCAGAACTGTTTCTGGAGAATGTGGTGCGTCTCCACGGGTTCCCGGTCGACGTGGTCTCAGATCGTGGTCCCCAGTTCACGGCCCGTTTCTGGAAAGCCTTCTGCCATCTAGTGGGAGCTTCTGTCAGCCTGTCTTCTGGCTACCACCCTCAGACCAACGGTCAATCGGAGCGGGCGAACCAACAGTTGGGCCGGTACCTCCGCTGCTTTGTCTCGGCCCAGCCCTCGCAGTGGCCTAGGTACCTCCTCTGGGCGGAGCTGTCTCATAATCTCCACACCTCCTCGGCCACTCAGATGTTCCCTTTCGAGGTCTGCTATGGCTACCAGCCCCCAGTCTTCGCCCACCAGGAACCTGAAGTCGCGGTGCCAGCCGCTCAATCCCTGGTGAGACGCTGCAAGAACGCATGGATCAAGGCGCGGGCCTCCATTACCCGGGCCAACGCCCGTTACTCACACCAACACCTCCGCAGGCACCGCCCGGGTCCCTCCTATGCTCCAGGAGACAAGGTCTGGGTGTCCACGGCAGGCCTCCGGGTCCGTGCCGGTTCCAGGAAGCTCGCTCCCCGGTTCTTCGGGCTCTACCCCGTGCAGGAGGTCATCAACCCGGTCACGTACCGGCTGCGGCGGCCTGCAAGCCTTCGCGTCCATCCTACCTTCCACACCTCCCGGCTTAAGCCTTACATGGAATCCCCCCTCCTGCCACCTCAGGCTCCAGCACCTCCGCCGGCCCGCTTCCTCGACGGGGAGCCCATCTACACAGTCCGGCGCATTCTGGACGCTCGCCGCCGGGGTCGGGGCTGGCAGTACCTCGTAGACTGGGCGAACTACGGCCCAGAGGAACGCTCCTGGGAGCCGGCCCGTTCCATCTTGGACCCTGCCCTCATCTCGGACTTCTGGGCCCACCGAGGTGGCCCGGGGACTTCTGGAGCCGTCCCTGGACCGGGGGGTCCTGTCAGAGTCCAAGCCCCCAGGGCGGGCTCTCCCAGCTGACCGGCTTCAGACTTGGACCACATTACCCAGCATGCCCCTCGCGGGGATTCCCTCCATGTTGCACCTGCGTCAATCCATGTCTATATATGGAAGACGCCACACCTGCTCTTCACTCAGTCATCGTTCCACCGTGATCCATGATCAGAGTATTCCAAAGCTACTACAGCTAACCTCCACCTTTCCTCCTCAGACCTCATCCGTCAGCCTTTCCAGCACCGCTTTCAGCCAACCGTATGTGTAATAAAAGCTCTTACTCCCGAACCCAGTCTTCGAGTCTGACACAGACTGGATCCTCTCCAGGTCAGACTTCACTTTGTCTGTAAAACTGGGCATGTCTTCTTCTTAAGCCTGGTTTATGCTTCTCCGTCAGCTCCGCAAGGGACAGACACGCACGGACTGACGGAAGTGTTTTGCTCTTGTACTTCTCCGTCTCCTGGAGAGTGTTGCAAAGCAATTGCCCTGCAGGACCACAGAGGGTGTAGCGCTGTTCTGTGGTATCCTGTCATGCATCGGTCCAAGATCGTGTGTTTATATTGTGTTTTTTGTGTATATAAGTGACTTTTAACAGGGACATATTTGTCTCTCATTCTCCCACCCCTTCATGCGCTCCCCACCTCTAAACCCACGTTTCCTGTCATTTCCGTCCACAAATAAAATGCTTGCTGCGCATCTTTTCACTCCTCCAGTCACGGGAGAATTAAACGTTCATATTTTTAGAGTTTTTTCGCGAGGTATTCTTCAAGCTTCTCCGTGTCTGCCGCTAGTTATCCTCGGCTCTCTTTGCAATGGCGGCGCTGTAAACAACAGCGGCATCCTGACCAATCACAAGCTTGCGTAATCCGTCTCGTTCGACGGATGTTTAAAAAAGTGGGCTCGACTCCGTACGTACTTGCGTGCCCTACGCAAGTACGGATAATGGCGTTGCGTGTCTCCGCACTGACGCAGACGGAGAAGCATAAATCAGGCTTTACTGAGCACACTTCCTGTCCCGTAGAACTGACCGGTGCTTCGCCTTAGCCAAATACGTACAGATGTCAATCAGAGATCATGCTTGCGTGTTTGTGGAAGTACCTGCACTGATGCAGAGCTTGGGCCTTTTCTAATGGACAAGTAAGTATTTAAAATATGAAAAAACAGCAAGAAATTTTGTTAGAATTAGAACACAAACTGTGTTTTGCTCTAATGACTTTTCTGAAATGTTCATGAAGACCTGTAGATGGATGGTTGCCGTAGCAACTCATCATCCAGCACTTTTCCTCTCATAAACTCATAGCATATGCCATTCTGGAAGCTGCAGAAGATCTCCGGACCACAGCCATGAGTATGGAAAACCTGGAACATCTCCACTTCCCGATCGCGGTTCACGTAGAGTTCTGTCATTTTGCCGTAGAGCCTCACTAAAACACAGCCAGCCTCCTGGAGAGAGCCCACGTAGCAGCCAATCAGCTGGTTAGTGATGCCTTCAGTAAACATCTGGAGAGAAAAATGTAATCAAGGGTTATGAAGTATTCATTGGGTACAGCTGAATGTTTAAGATGGATACCACAGATGAAACCTTTGAACTAATATAGTTCCAGGATCTTGTTTGCAAGGTGTTATGGTAGAACCCACATGTGGTCACAGGATAAGACCAAGATCCTGGATACAAGGATCTAAAATGATTTTTCTTCATGGTTCAGCTCCACCATGGAGATAAAATGAGGAGTTCCACCAACTGCTGGTCCTTCACTCCATCTCCTGGTAAACTCCCTCTGGAAGGAGGCTTCCAATCGGCTCAAACTAAACCAAACTGACTGAAACACCTGAGAAAAAAACAAACAAGTATTCATATCTATCAAACAAGGTTGGATTAATAAAGTCATTTGTTCTTAATAGAGTTTTGTTGAGTGGGGAAACCTTCTACATGTTTACTGGAAACTTCACTTTGTACAGAGAAGAAGAGAAACGGGAACACCCAGCTCTGCAGATAAAGAAAACCTTGTTCGGGTCTGTTTGTGTGCACAGACAGACCTCACTGTCCACTGTTTGTCTACAAAGACTCTCTATGTCATTTGTTGTCATTCAGTGGTTTCTCATTCTGAGTCAAAGTCCCAGAGGCACTCAGCACTTCCACTGGGACCTGAGCACAACAGTCCCTCATCTGGGTCCAGAGTGAGCAAACATGCCCATCTCGACATCTGATTTATTATTGATGATGGGATGGAGGACAGATTTTATGATTCTGATTATGTTTTCTTTTCTGTTCTGACCTCTATTGTTTCTTTCTAAATCACATTTTATTCAACATATTTATTAACTGTCAACATCTTCTACTGTGAAACATGTCAGTGATGCAAATCAGCTCTAAAGGAATTAAGCTGCTCCAGTCTCCAACATCTTATTGTGTTTTTCCCAGAGTTGTTTTGTTAACCTTTACATCAATTACATAAGTAAATAAACATTTATCAAGAAGCAGGAATTTTTCACCAGCAGCCTGTCCCGGTCACAAGTTCTCAGTGCTTCACAACTTCTTTGTTTTATATTAGAGTTGATGATATTATTATATTAGTTTTAAGAAATTCCAGCCAGACTAACCCCTGGATGCACAGGGATGTTACAGCTTACTGCTGCCTATATCTCTAGTAAATAACTACAGAAATTTAAATATATTTTATAAAATAATATTGCATAATTTTATATTTATTCTTCAGGGAAGCCAAATAACAAAGTGTTTTCTCCTTTTATAAAAGTAAAATAAATGCAAAGGTTTTACTTCAAATGTTTCATGCAAAGTTAAATTAATACTTTTCCCACAAGTGTTTTTTTTAACCGTTTATCTTTCTTTAGAAAAAAAATAAAATTAAAAATTAACCCAACATCTTTATGCTAGCGTTAAAGGGGACATATTATGCAAAAGTCATGAGATAATGTCCCCTTTAGTAAAATCACTATTTAAAAACAAGTTATACATATATATATATATATATATATATATATATATATATATATATATATATATATATGATATAAAAAATACCAGTAAAAGAAAAACAAAATTGGCCATTTCTAACTGTAGCTCCTCACTTTTTCTCTATTTTTTATTCTGATGTCATTTTTTAAACATCTTTTTTATTATTTCTTGTTCTTGTGAAGTGTCTCAGGATTTTAGTCCTGAGAGGCGCTATGTAAAAAAATGTCTTCTTCTTCTTCAGAAGGAAGTAGATATGTAGGACCATAACAGGTAAAAATGAGGGTTATGAACCAAACATAGAGCTTGGTTTAAAGTTCAGGTGAGACAACAGGAACCGTCTGACCTGCAGCAGATGAACGCAACACATCAGTGACAGGACTCCTGCAGTCTGAGAGATGAAGGGAAACACCTACTTCTCAGTGTACGTTAGAAGACCTGATGTGGATGGAGAGGTCACCATCCAATGCTTTACAAACAGAAAGCCCATTTCTCTGACAGATTGGACCTTGTGTTTGCACACGAGTCTAGAACGTCCTGTCCTATATGGATACTTTGAAACACAAGAAGGCTTTCTGAGTTCCAGCTTATAAATAGTCCATTTATTTAACTTGAAAACTTTATCTTGGAAACTTGAATGTTGCTACATTATTTAGAAAGCAAAGCATTTAAAGCTTATAGATACCATACAAGAGTACAAGATTGCTTGGCAGCAGTGATGACTATTCAGATTATTGCTGTCTCAAAGGAGCAATAGTTTGTAGAGTTTTGAGAAACTGGTCGATTTAACAGAATTTCTGTGGGTCTTATCTATTATTTCCATGACTATTGATTTATGCTAGAAGACAAACTAAACATAAGTCCACCCAAGCAATCAGTGGGTCTCAAATCAGCTCCAGTGTTGAAATACTGAAATATTCTGGACAGCAAGCCTTACTTCCTCTAAGTAATGTGTTGAGTAAAAGATAGAAACCTTCTGGTACTGATGGGTGTGATGTATTGAGGTAACCAGAGAAAACCTCTGAAACCAAACCCCGTCTGGACAATATCAGTGCATGTGATGATAATTATTGCTCCATAAAGATTTAAATACAGATTTTAGAAAATATTTTAGATTTATAATGTAAATTCTTTGGACTTTAAAACTCAAAATGCAAATGTTGCGTTGTGAAACCGTACAGTTTCTGTCTGGAAATTACCAAAAGGTTTGGGCCAAGAACTTGAATCTTTGGATTTAGTCTGGAACATCTGTGTGTAGATACTCACATACCTTCAGCTGAATGTCCGGTGCGTTCCACTGAGGACGAAGGCTGCTCAGAAGCTCCAAGATTCCCTTGCGAGGTTCTCTCTCATCAATGTAAATGTTCACATGAAGAAGCTGATTTTCTGCACCAGCAAGTTCACCATCCATTTTCAACAGTATAATGTACCTTAAATCTACTTAATGTGTTAAAGCTCTCAATAATTCTGTTTTCAGACCGTGTCCAGATCCAAGTATCACTTGTGTCAGTCAGATCTTAATTCCTGTTGGTCCAGTGCAGGGTAAATGACCTATCACTGAGCAGCAACGTTTCAGATTCATGTGAGAGTCAGAAATTATCCAGCTGCATTATTAAGGGTCAATGTTCATGTGGGCATCTTTATCCTCTTTGATGCAGTTTACTTATTAGCCAGCTGCTGTGACAGACAGGTGACCTGACCAGGGTATATCACGCCTCTCAACTCCCGTCTGCAGCGATAGGTTCGAGCCCCTCACCACCACCACCCTACCTCCCACTCCTGTGACCCTGAACCCGTCTGATTGGGCACAGCGAGGCAGCAGGTATCAGGGCTGCTGAACTGGAATTCGTAGAAACCAGTCCCTAGAAGAAACACCATCATGATTCTAAGCAGAATTCTGTTAATGATAATAATAGGAACATTACCATTGAGTTTTAAGAGAAAACTTACAAATAAATATTCAGATTTTTGTTTTCATTAAATGTTTTGTTTCATTAGCATGCAGCAAACTGAGACCAACAACAGACATTTTTACCATTTAACAGAAACCCCATGTTCACATGCAAACCGGCCTCTGGTATGCCTATAAATTAGACAATAACACAATTCAAGCATTTTATAATAACCCCAAAAGCAAATGAGAGATTTTAGGATCTTATAAGTTGATTGTATGTTTAATTGTGGATGGCTCTAACTGATGAGGATCTCCTGTAGCGGTCTGTGATGCAGCAGATCTGAAGAAGCCTCTGACTGAAGACACTCTGTGAAAATAATGATCCAGTTTGCTCATCGTGTTCTTCATGTTGTGAAGCATCCTCCTTTGTCCAATCAGCTCCCAGAACAGAGTCTTCTTCATCAGCTTGTTCAGCTTTTTACAACCACCTGACTTCCATCTGTCTGATTCTCCTTTTACTTAAAGCCAATAATGCATCTGACGTTGTTCTGCATAAATAATGACAGAAGCAAGGCTGCCATTTTGTACCCTCTGACCAACATCAACAGTTTTTTTTCTGAACACCTTCTTGTTCTTCCATTTTTTATTTTAAGTTGCTTTGGCAAACTGTCTAACAGTTTCCTATCTACCGCTCTGAAGGTTTTTCCCCTTGATAACCATTTTCTTCAGGGTTTATATTAGAGAACAAAGATCCCCAGATGAAGTTCTCCACACAGAAGGTATCAATCATACATTCACTCATCCCACTCAGAGTTTCTTCAGTTTCTGGCAACACTTTAAAATGAGGATCCCTTCATTAATATTATCCATCCATCCATCCATCCATCCATCCATCCATCCATCCATCCATCCATCCATCCATCTGTAATGAGTGTTAATTACATTTAATTAAGGACCATAAGACATTAAAAATTCAAATTGAGTATGAATTCCATCTTATGGACACTGGGTTATTTAAATCAGAAAATTGGATCTTTTTATTGCAGGGATTTAGATAACACTTTGTATTAACTGAGAGACAAGAGAAGAGAGAGAGACTTTCAAACATTTAAGGAAATTTATTACTAAATAATTTTAAACAATTTAACAAGACTAACTCTCTAATGATGGATGTTCTGTTTGAATGAAGTGTGAGATGGATGGTGTGTGTGTGAATGAGTGTCAAATTCAGAACCCTCGTATCCGGAGAAACAAAGTCTGAGTGGGAGATGATGTTTTGCTCCTAACTGACCAGAGTTTGAGGCTCGTAGTCATAAACACATGAGACACCATTTATGTCGCATCCACATACCCTCAGTGAGACCTCCACGATGGATCCAGAATGCCAGGTCTTCGGCCCTTCCTTCCGGTACTGGAGCCAATGGTACAGCATCACAGCACGACAAACTAGTCCTTGGATAGTCTCCAGGTAAAAAGCGACAGGTGTTTCACAGCATCAAAAGGGGATCCTCCTTGGGTCAGCGAGTTCAGCTTTTTTCTGAAAGGTACCATTGCTTGGTTGGTAACAAAACAACAGAATTTTCCCAGCTTCAATGGTTCTCAGCTTAAAAAGAGAAGTGCAGATGGCCGGTCCAATACTTAACTTAACATGCGGTGAACTTCATGGGATCTTGAGAACGAGATCTTGAGAACTGAACTTAAGATGGCGTTGGAATTGTTTTATTAATCTGGATGTTTTTGATTCTGGAGGAATCAAAGCTGACAGATTTAATAAACACCACAAAGACTCTGCCACGCTTCAGATTGGGAAGGTTCTGATTGGATCAGTGCTACAATGTGTCATGTGACTGTTTTCCTTACGTGTGTTTAGTGAACTAGATTAAGTCATATTACTTATTAAAACATATTAATCATAACATTGTGATTTCACAGATCGGTCACATTGTATTATTGACTAACATTTGTTTTGATTAGCTTTATTGAAAATAGAGTTCTTTGATTTAATAAAAGAAAAGAGTCTTCATCTTCTGTCTTCATTGCTGGAAAGTAAACAGTTTAGAAGCGAATGCATGACCTTGAGGCTGTTTCATGCACTCTGGCGCTGTGTCATAGGGAACTGTGGATAAAGGTTAAATACCTTGGAGGAATAGCTCCTTCATCACGTTACACATCCATCCGTCCATCCATCCATCCATTTTCATCTGCTTATCCGGAGTCGGGTCACGGGGGCAGCATCCTCAGTCGAGAGGCCCAGACTTCCCTCTCCCCAGCCACTTGGGCCAGCTCCAACGGGGGTATCCCAAGGCGTTCCCTGGCCAGGTGAGAGACATAGTCCCTCCACCGTGTCCTGGGTCTACCTTTAGGTCTCCTCCTGGTTGGACGTGCCCGAAAAACCTCACCAGGGAGGCGTCCAAGAGGCATCCTGACCAGATGACCGAGCCACCTCAACTGGTTCCTCTCGATGTGGAGGAGCAGCGGGTCTACTCTGAGCCCCTCCCAGATGACCAAGCTTCTCACCCTATCTCTAAGGGAGAGTCCAGCCACTCTGCGGAGAAAACTCATTTCGGTCGCTTGTATCCGCGATCTCGTTCTTTCGGTCACCACCCAAAGCTCATGACCATAGGTGAGGGTAGGAACGTAGATCGACCGGTAAATCGAGAGCTTTGCCTTCTGACTCAGTTCTCTCTTCACCACGACAGACCGGTACAATGCCTGCATCACTGCAGATGCAGCACCAATCTGCCAACTGATCTCACTTTAATATTATTAATATTATTTAGTACATTATTAAGCTTTAACAAACTGTTAAATAAAGTATTATTGTATTATTTAATATTAATGATATCAAGTGTTGCAGACACCCCCCAGCCCTTTGACCTGTCAACGATATTGGGAATATTAATAAAGGGACTCTTATTTTAAAGTGGTACACAGTTTCCTTTAACCACCTCCTCACAACTCTTCTGGTCATAACTCGACCCTTTGCTATGAGAAGTGCCAACCAAGTAGAGAAGCTACATGCAACCCAACGTGAGCATAAAATAAATCCTGTGTTGTTTGTTTGTTTGTTTGTTTGTTATCTGATGGATCAGTTATACTGTTAAAATGTTGGAACTGTAGAAGAGAGAGGCTTGCCACAGAAGCTTTGGGGTGCTGTGTCTGTAACTTGGCAACACTACTGCTGATGACATCACAGGCAGAAATGGATAATGGCAGGTTTTACTCTCATGTGAACATTTAGAAGTAGCACCTTCTTGCTGATTGGTAACTATGTACGGGGTATGTTGTTTTTGTATTTCATCAGTAATTCCCCATCTCCCTCTCTTAAGGGTCTTTTTTGTTAAGCAGATTTCCACGTCCCTGGAGATCCAGGGTTTGCATTCAACCCATAACAGACTCCAGTATATATTTGTCTGCCTTATGCCACATGCAAAAAACAACATCAGATTACTTGTATTCCCTTGAGTCTGCATTTTGTTTCAAGCAATAATTTATGAGGCTTTAAGATGCTACTTTTCTACTTCCTGTAGTGCTCCAATGCCAACGCTATTTAGTACATAAACATCCATCCATCCATTGTCTGAACCCGCTTGTCCATGTAGGGTCGTGGGGGGGCTGGTGCCTATCTCCAGCGGTCAATGGGCATTCAGGCAGGGTACACCCTGGACAGAGAGCCAGTCCATCGCAGTAGTACATAAACAAAAATAACAAGTTCACATTTAGTTTCTGCCACAGCTAACAATAAATTTGTTTGTATCTCAAATAGAAACATACAGAGTCAGCTTGTCACCTACATGACTACTTTCTGCTCAATTAGGTTTATTAATTTAAAATAAATTAGACAACTTTGTTTTAAAAATAACCTAAGATAATCCCTTCAGTCAGAATTCCTTTGATATTAGGCAACCTCATTTTTTCTACAGTTCAGTAAAACTTTAACACACACACACACACACACACACACACACACACACACACACACACACACACACACACACACACACACACACACACACACACACACACACAACCCACGCATATACAGTTGTGTAAGGAGACGTTGGCGTTTTAGACATTGCTTTGATTACATTTGGTTCATGTGCCCTGGCATCACATTTAAAAGGGTAGAACTGTTGTCCAAACCAAGCCGATGTATAAAGAGCGTCCATTTAGGAATCATGCAACTTGCTGATTTAAACCCTCCTTTTAGTTCAATGCCATGGAACATTTCAACATGATCACTCTGTAAACACAAAACGGAGTTCATAAACATTGGAGCAGCATGTTTTTAGCCTGTTAAATTATTTAGACACTGGGCCAATGTTTACCACTTTGCATCATTACAGTAATTGCCTAGAAGAAGTCATGGATGTGGTGATCATCTTGAACTGAAAACTTTGCGAGCTTTTAGGCCCAAATGAAATTCACTTGCCATCAAAGAGCATCTGATCATCAAAGACATTGTATCTTAAAAGAGAGATGAGTGTCCTGATTAAATATGCAAGGGTCAGGCAGTAGAATGAAGCAGTAAAGTCAGTGTTAGTGTGATTGCCTTGACGTCTCAGATTTAACTCAACGACAAGTCTGGCTGAAAATTAGATGGCAATGACAGAAACCAGTGTTCAGGATTGGCAGCATGGGACTGAGATGCAGCACTTAGTTTATTTCATATTCTGCACCTTTTTTGACAGTTAAAAATGCTTTTAGAGACTGCTGAGATTAACATTTGGGCCTCTG